GGAAACGCGACGATCGATATTCCCCGTGGCACATTGTCAATTCCCAAAGGGGGAGGGGAAAAAAGACGATAGCAAACGAGATGCTCCTTTCTTTTCGACGACGTCGCAGGACATCGAAAACGCTGCGTGTGACTAGTATTTCCTCGCGCGAAGGTCGGGTCGCAAAGAAACGGGAGAGATCGATCGATCGGAGACGAAAGAAACGTAGAGAAAGAGAGAGAAAGAGAGAGGCAACAACGTCTACGTGGATGCGTGGATGCGCTTTGAGTTATAGGAGACCGCCGCTCGGACTGACAGCCTAGTTATTGAATACAAAATGCAATTTTTCAAGTCTGCCGCGCAGCGTACATCTGCTCGCAGCCAGTCCTGAAAAGTAACAGACCGTTCCTCCCGCGAGGAGCTGATCGAATCCTCGCCAAGGATTTCGAGATACACCCGTCCCGTCCAACCGGGACCAGCCATCCATCCTGAAATTCTCGCGATCGCGTCTTCTACCCTGAATAGCATTATTTCATGGAGTGCCGTTCTATGGAAAGAAGAACGAGCCGGGAATACCGATATATACCCTAGCGAGGTCGAAACGTGTTTCGATAACGTGTTGAAAGATAATGGCGTTACTTGGGACATGGAACGGCTTCGCGTTTGAAATAGAGAAGAAAAAAGATTGGATCCGTTCCTCTTCGTCTTCTTTGCTTTCATTTTTTCTTTTCTTTTTTTTGGAGTGAAAGGAAATTTTTGGCAGAAGAAATCAAGATAGAACTTTAATAACCTGTTGCGTGGAGAAGTGAAATGGTATAAGTGGTATATTCATTTCATGTTTAATAATATAAATATTGGCGAACAGCTGTCTTCGTCGTCTTCGCCATTTCTGACACTTTACTTGTAAACATAATAATGATAAAAATCTCTTGTATGTTTTATATAGGTTTTCGCAATATATTTAAAATAGTTTAGTAGTAAAGAGGCATCTATTGTTCTGTTATAGTAGAATGTGATGGTAAAGTGATAGTTGGAATATTCGGATAATATAAGTACTATTTAACTTTTCCACTGATAAAACAAATATAATATTTATACCATTATTCTAATTCCATACTAAGCAATAATCCAACAAATTTCGAAAAGAAAAGTAGACATCTTCTTTATAAATGCAAGAAACGCGTGACAATTCTAAAAATATCTAATGGCTCCACAAAATTGACAAATCTTGTCCAAAAAAAAAAAGAAAAAAGAAAGAAAAATCATCAAGATTCCTTCAGAGTCGCTTGTAAATTCCTGCAGGAAATACTCGACGAACCAGTGAGGCCGATTTGTGAGATACCGATCCTATAGCGTCTAATACCTCTCAAAGCGGGCCGTTCAAACGTTATTACGGATTACACGCGGGGATATACGAGATACCGGTGTACGACAGGGATAGCGGAGACGCGGCTACGAACGACGGAGCCAACGAAAAAAGAAAAAAAAAAAAAAGAAAAAGAGAAAAATCGTTACCTCTGAAGAGACTCGCCACTCCAAAGAATTTCCTACAGAGGGAGAGTACTACCTTCGAGAGTTCGAATGCGATTCTGCTAACGATCCGTACAGTTGCACCTGTATCCGTGCACCGCTCCCCCCC